GTAAGTTTATTCTTTTTTACTTCATACAACAACATCCAAATTATATACTGGCATTAGTGTTCTTACTCCATTTAGTTATATCGTGCACCAGGAAGGAGTACTTCTACTTTGATTGTGATTACCAGATGGAAGTGTGTCATACCTCAAAATGGCGTGTCTATACTTGATTGTAAATATAGGGTTAGATTCATTTACTCATTCTCATGATCATCAATTTGAATGATTGTTTTCTTATTTGTGGTTGTACACTTAAGATAAATCTATCTTCATTTCTACATCTCTCTTGCTCTTGCTTATGATAATATTATATTTGACTTTCGTGTTGGTCTTTATCACGAGTCTTCTAACATAGTGAGAGTGCAATAGGTGGGGGTGAGAACGCTTCTAGTTATGCGGTAATGTTGGAGTACGGAGAAACGAAGCGGAGGTGCAATTATTGAGATAGTTCGTTCTACTCCTTTATTGTTAGGAAAAACTCAACATCCGAGATAGGTTTTTGATAACAGATGTCTAGGCAATTGGACTCAATACACTCTTGACGTGACAAGACGTGACTATCACACATACATCTTAACCTAACCCCCTTATCTTCTAAGTAGCATGGCAGCCTCGACTGGATAACCTCACCCGTATGTTGGGCCAGTTCATTAGGCTTCCGATTTATYTAGAATTCAGGATAAACCGAAAATTGGTGCAAAAAAACGAATTTTTTTGTGTTGGGGAGGCTTATTTGCATTGTATATAGGGTATCCAAGGTCAAAAAATGAATGCATTTTGGCAAATATCATTTTTTTCCAACTGCCTCATCCCTATGAAACACCCGCGGATGCGTCCGCGGGTCCGATCTCTGATGGCGCACGCAAATGGGGCCGCGTCCACGGGCGACCTGGTCTGCGCCGTGGACCCCATTTTTCCAGAATTTTTCTGAATTAAATAATAGGTTAAAAAAAAATAAAAAAATGGGGTTGTAGGCTAGGCTACCAGCCGGGCCGCCTGGGCCCCGGGTTACCAACCCGTGCAAGGACAAGGGAAGGTCCCAGCAAAAGAAAAAGAAATCCAAAAAATTTGAAAAAATATTATCTTATGTAGAAAAATAAACTAAATAACTTTTGTCTCAGGCTTACATCGAAATTCGTTACCAAATTTAAAATATAAAATAAAATTTTAAAATATTTTATTTTTTTTTATCTTTATGGCCCGGTCGGGCAAGTGATCCCGGGCCACTCTGGTAGCCTAGGTTGTAGGGAATTTTAAGCCCTACAACCCCATATTTATTTTTTTGGAATCTGACTTTGTTTGGGATTTTTAAAAAATCAAAAACCAAATTCGATTTCAAGAAAATTAAAAAATAAAATATAAATAAAAACAGGATATTTTTTTTGTTATTTTTTATCGGGAGATATATGGTCCATGAGTTCACCTGTATTTTTTAAGAAATAAATTTCTGTTTTTTGCAGGGGTATGAGTTGTTTAAAAAAAATGCAGATGCAAAATTTGAAAATAAATAAAGAAAAAACTATAAAAAAAGGGTTTTATTGATTGATTGATTGATTGATTGATTGATTCTGAGTGAGTGAGTGAGTGAGTATGTGTGTGTGTGTTTGTGTATGTTTTGTGTGTGTGTGTGTGTGTGTGTGTGTGTGTGTG